TCATGATAGATACGTCTATTCCACTTAAAAGATTGCTGTAATATAATCATAATTCTTCTACGTCTCCTTTGCTTGGCTAATATTATCATTATCATCTATCTATCTATCTATCTATCTATCTATCTATCTATCTATCTAATATATTTCTTACAAAGATTAGGGTTGTGCATGTGCTCAAATTGACAAAATTTATCTGGAAAATTGACAGTCAGTGGATATAAAAAGTTTGATGACGTGCTTTGCCTGTATGTATATGTTTTTGTGTTACCTGATGTTTCAAAATGTCATTGACACTACGTATGCATAGATGTAATAGAATTGAGTCATATGAGATATGTGATTGTATTTTGGCATGAGAGCGAATGTAAACGATAGAATAGAATCAGAATTTCGCCAACTTACAAGAAAAGATTATATGTTTAATTATAATAAAAGCTTGCATAATGCAAATATTAAATAGCCATCTCACATGATTATACTGAGGTATATACAGTCGTCAAAGCTTAATAAAGAATGCTGAATAACTATTGTTAATTTTCTAATTTAGAGAATCTAATTGTTAGACATGGGACGTCGCAAAAAGTTAGATGAATAATAAAGTAGAATGAATAAAAGTAAATTTCAAATTGAATGAAGTGACTTAAATTGGCACAAAATAATGAGAAGAATGTTTGAAAAAATGGCCCCATAATTATAAACTATGCGTCATTGAAACCCGCACACGTGTTATGGGTTCTTTGTAAATTAACAAAGGTTTTCATCAAATGAAAAACTTTGTGTTATAGCAGATTTGTTTCATTTTGTTATATATTCACATGAATAATGATATTGCTGACTGATAAATACACTTTAAGACCCACCACTCTCTCCCTCTTTCTCTACCTATCTACAGAGAAAGAGAGAGATAGAGAGAAAAAGAGTGAGAGAAAGTGAGAGATATACAGAGAGAGTGAGAGTGAGAGATAGAAAAACAACTGCACATTTATATCAGAGAAACAGTGAGAAAGTAAAAGAATGAGAGAGAGAAAAAGAGATAGATAGATTAATCGGTAAACATATCAATGCGTTAATAAATGATGGGTTAATAAATGGCTACATACATGAAAATTAAAACAAAAAGAGATATAAGTGAAAAAGCCAAAGAAAAAGATAATGAGGCAGGTAGGTAGATAAATGTGGGAATGGATGAATGACTTGAATGAATCTATATCATCTCTTATTATACACATATATGCACACTCATCACTCTCTCTCTATCACTCTCTATCCTCTTCTTGGTCAGACCCAAAATTTTAGAGAGAGAGAGAGGGGAGGGAGAGAGAGAGAGAATTAAAATTTGGCTGGAATATTTAAAATGTCACGTAATCACTATGAAGGGATACTTAATAAATGAATAACTATCTATCTTTTTTCTCTCTTTTTCTCTCGATCTCTACCTGTCTCTCTGAAGTTTTTGGTCTGACTAAGAAGAGGATAGAACTGATATATATATATATATATATATTTATGGTCATATATATATATATATATATATATATATATATATATATATATATATGACCAGGTGCTGAAAAATTCTTGCGCAAAACATTTACAAAAATATGACCAAATGACCAAAAGTAGAATTTCCTTTTAAAGATATGCTTGACTGCAAATCTTTCAGTACACGTGTGTGTACGTGTGCGTGCGTGCGTGCGTGCGTGCGTGCGTGTGTGTGTGTGTGTGTGTGTGTGTGGCTTTGTGTATATGTGTGCACATGAGGAAAGAATGATAAGAACTTTAAATGGCATGCTAGATTTGTTTAACGGACAAGAATGTTGAGCGGTTTTGATAAGATTCCTATATTTGTTCCAATCAGAATGATACTGAAATAATTTTCTTCACCAAAAATCAAAAACCGCCGAATTTTAATTATATACAAACGTGTTATACGCGGTTACCTTCAATTTTACTTTTTGTATATCAAAAGAGGCAAAGACAGGATGAGTGATAGGACGAGAGAGCGATTTTGATTACCAAGTAAGACATTTTTTAGGTATCTATGGATATATTTTATATGAACTTCGTATCAAAGAATTGATATGTTAAAGGATAGAATATATATTGTGAAACTGACAGATATACATAAGAAAGAATATGGAAATTTTTTTCGATATAACCAAAAAACGCTTCAAAAGTAAATAAATAGACAAAATAAATTTAAAAATAAATCTGACCTTTGGTCAGATTTTGGGAAATGTGTTAAGCCGTAAACTTTCAGCACTGCTTATAGATATATGTATGTATATATATGATATACAGACAAATATATGCAGATTTATACGTATTTATATCAATAAGTCCGTAGTATAATGAGGAAAAATATTTTACACAACAAATATTTTTCAACATAATCTCTTTCTTTTTCAAAGCGATTAAACTTTCTACATTATTCATATAGATCCAACATTATAGAGTGAATATTTATTTTATTTAGATAGATGTCAAGTAACAAACTTGTTGATTCATCCTCGTATGCATGTCCACATTTTTGTGTATGTGTGTATAAATGGAATTATATCTATTATATAGTTTAAGTGCAGTTCTGTACATTCATGTGTATCTTTTTCAGATAGAAACTATTTAATATAAGGAAATGAATGAAGTCGACATAAAAGAGAGAGAGAGAGAGAGAGAGAGCAAGCAAGAAAGAAAGATATAGAGAAAGCAAGAGAGAGAGAGAGAGAGAGAGAGAGAGAGAGAAACTGTTCAAGAAGGAAAATGAGAATACTTTTACATAAAAAAAGTCTTTAGCAAATAGAAATAAGAAAAACGATTAGATAAAATGGGAAGAATGATGGAACGATCAATAATAGTAAACGGTATTGGTTGTTGACGTGTAGAAAGTCGACAGGGAAACAAGACAGAAATAGAAGAAAAGACATGGAGAGTAGGAAATGCATCGTGAATACAGGTAAGCAACTAGGAGTTCTAGTTGACTGATGCATGTACAATCATCATCAGCATTATGCTGGTCATGATGACGGTGGTGGCGATGCTCTTGTTTCTGTTACTGCTGCTACTGATTTTTAAATGATAATCTAAATTTTAAGCTGGATATTAAATGTTGCTACAAAGTGAAGATATTGGGGACAGACTGTGATATACATATATGACCAAATTGGTATCTATCTATCTATCTATCTATCTATCTATCTATCTATCTATCTATCTATCTATCTATCTATCTTCGTACTCAGAGTATATAATGTTCATTGGGTCGATGATAATAATGATGTTGTGTGCACATCCGCCTGATATTTTTTTAGAAAATAGTTATTCATATGTCTTTAGAAAGGTAGATAAATAGGAACACTCGTTAAATATAAATAGACTGCTATTGATAGACACATTTTATATGTATATGTATATATCTGTGTGTGTGTTATATTATTGAATACCGCACATATATAGCTTTGTTTCAGATTAAGCTCAGCTTAGAAAACGCTAGTAGATAAGAACAGACTCTTATATGAAAAGATTTGTATTGATATGATGACGATAAGTGCGAGTATGATATGATCTCAAGACGTTTGACAACAGATATCTTGAAGAATTCATATACAGTGATATAGGCACGGAGCTCACAGAAACGATGTGTGTATGTGTGTGTCTGTGTGTGTCTCTCTGTGTGTGTGTGTGTGTCTCTCTCTGTGTGTGTGTGTGTGTGTGACGCCAAATAAACTAGGAATGTTTAATACAGCTTTAATACACTAATAGTCAGATTAGGTATCCAATAAGAATAATAGCTAGTTTGGTTGGTACATAGTCATATTGGTTAACAGGTAGTCAGTAAATTCGCTAAGTCGGTTTGTAGGTAGTTAAATACATACTTAAATATGAGAAGACCGAGAATGATCGATCAGTTGATAGAAAAGGGTTATCGATATTCTAATGCTACAACAGAAAGATTCATGAATTGATTGGAGAAGAAAGGATTCATCGAAGTAACTCGTTGAAATGGATGAATTCACTAAACCAAACACAGAAGAAATACACACACACACACACACACACACAGAGGCGTATAGGAAAGAATTAGAAAGAGAATGAAGTAGTTGATATGTGATGTAGGAGATTAAACGAACTTAAAAATCTGATAGATATTGTTTGTTAATTATATCGATGCTTAAAACGACAGTAAGATTGATCTGATAACTGAAACATTGGAAACAATTTATAAAGTTCCTGGAAAAGAAACGTAAAAAAATATCGTGATATGAGTACTTATATAAGTTTTAATAGAACAGTGCGGAAGCACTAAAAAACACCAGATGAATACAAGGTTCTGAAAAGTTCACACCCCGATTCACTTCTCAAAATCTGATTAAATTACTAAATACAGATTTTTGAGAAAAAGGCGTCTTGATCAGACTATGAACTTTTCAGCACTTATCGTATGTATATGTATATGTGTAATGAGAAATTGTATAATGATAACAGGTTATATCTGTTTGTCAGTCATTTTAGTGTGTGTGTGGGAGGTTAGAACCAAGGATAATAGCAAGGTAAATAGATAAACACAGACAGATCGATTGATTGATAAACTAAGCAAGATTGATAGTATGATAGATTGATGAACAGATAGATATTGTTATCTCGACATGTAGTTTGATAGAAAGATACGCAGTGTATAAATAACCTTTCCAGAAATATGCATTTTATGGAAATAAAGGGCGTACAAAACTGAAACGAATCTTTCGAAGTTCCATTTGTTATGATTTTTCTTACGTTTCTCATAGTTTTTTTGAGTAATAATCGTGTTCTGTTAGAAAGCCAATTAAGCACCGAATCATTTATTTTATTATCTTTCTCAAGGTATCTTTCATTAGGAAAGTAACGGTAATTCATGCAAATGCAGTCCTAGTTTATCTCAGTCAAATAACCGTGGTTACGAAGCACAACACGTACGTACATGTTGTTCAATAGAGGAAATAACAAAGCCTTGCCGAAAAGGTAGGTTAGACGCACAGTATGAGGAAGAAGCGGACTTCAAACGACTTTATATCACAAACAAAGACGAGAAAAAAAGAAATAGAATAAGGACTAAATGGCAGAAAAAAGGACTAAATGGCATTAGAAAATAAACATAAAAAAAATTAGCTGTTTCAATTTAAGTTTTTGTTTTCTTATTTTAAGCGCTGAGTACTTTTTTGTTTCCGAAGTGAAAGAATTAACGAAGAGATTTTTAAAAATTTAAAAATTTATTGATTAAAAAACTGAAAAGTAAACAATTTAAGAAGCAATTTTCTTTTCGTCTTTATTATTTTATTATCATCATCATCATCATCATCATTTTTCGATTTTCTATGGAAGTCTGCGGAAAGAATTAACGAAGAGATTTTTAAAAATTTAAAAATTTACTCGTAGTAAAAAACTGAAAGTAAACAAGTTTATGTCTCTTAAGCTGGGGTTTCAGGATTCTTTTCAATGTGTTGTTTTGTTCCATTTTATAATTTCTGCACCTATTACCACTGGTATTATTATTGTTTTCAATTTATTATTTATATTTAATTTAGGTCTTTTATTTTGATAGTTTTTCAAATTCCTTGGTTGCTATTACAATTAGCCATATCAATTTATTTTTCTTTCTGGTTTTTAAGTTTATTTTAGATGGTATAAAAGAATGACATCTTCTATTTCTTTGGCCGATGTTTAGTGTTTCTTACACATTTTTGTGTTTGCACATGTTTATTTTAGAAAAAGAATGCTCATTTCGATTATTCTGCATGTGTTTGTGCTTGCTTGAGGTTCCAGGCAAAAACTCAAGAATAGTTTTACAAACCTACATCCCGCAGGAATCACATTCATTAGAATAAACTGCAGCTGATGTTAGATAGTATTTTTGTCGGTCGATTTTTTTTTTATATATTTATTATTTGTTATATTTTATTGTTTTGGCTGGAGCATGGTTTTTAAATCAGATTCGTAAATTTGGGGTTTGATATTTACGAAAATGTACAACTGTGAGAGTAACATACAAATTCTACAATCCTTCTTAATTTACGTTTCCTTCTTCTCACCAATATTATTATTATTATTATTATTATTATTATTATTATTATTGAAACGTTCCCTCCGTGGTTGTGAACATTTTAGTAAAAATAAAAAAGCATTCCATATTTATATAAACCCACAGTGAAGAAAATAACTTTCAGAGTGAAAGAGAGAATTTAAAATAAAAAAGGTGAAAAAGCAACAGGAAAGGAAAAGAAAAATATGTAAAAAGAACCTGGTGACGAAATATTTTTTGAAGCCGAATATAAATGGAAGAAAGATCAAATAGAATTTTGCATAGAATTTTGCATAAGCAACATTCTCTCCCCTATATTTTTTACCTCTCTGAATTCACAAAGAAAAGACAGATAGAAAGAATTGGAAGACAAGCAGGTAATATAAGCGAAAAATGTAAGCAGATAAATATATGAATTGATTGTCAGAGAGAAAGTGAACATCGGTATGGGCAAAAATGTGTGTATGTGTGTTCGTTTATTTACTAGGGTTATTGAAAAAGAAACAAAAAAAGCAAGAAGGAAACTTATAGTAAAAATTAAAAATGAGACAAAAAAACTCAAAATTAGGTGACTAAACATATATTAACCAACAGATAGAATGGGTTTGAAAAGTGTATTTTTCCATCTAAGAAAGGTAGAGAGTTCCAAGTGTTATTGTTTGATGTGCGTGTGTGTAAATATGTTCGCATACATTGAAGAGGGAAAACTGTTTCAAGGCAGACAGGTAATACCAGTCACAGGTATGAAGTATTATTTTGATGTTAACATATTCAGACATACTGACGTGAACACAACGGACAGGTTGATAGATCGATAGAAAACAGAAAGATCGATGGAAAAAATAATGAGGAGAATTATTGACACATATAGAGGGGAAAATGGATAAGCAGTTAGGTATTTGGCGACAGAGAGAAAAGAATTGCTGATAGAAAGAAGAATTGAGAGAATAATGGAAAAAGAAATGGAGATGATTTCGTTTATGAAGACAGGTTTGAAAAGAGTTTAAATGATAGATTCAGTTGGATATGAGTGATATTAATTTGGAAGAAGAGACTGATAGGTAATCAAAAGAATTGGTTAACAAACAGAACAACATTGGTAAGTAAATAGAATAAATATTAAAATACTATATAGCGATTTTATATGTATATATATATATATATATATATATATATATATACTGATAAAAAGAAAGTATGAACGCACTAAGATATAAATATAAAATGTCAATAGGTTAGACACGAAAGTACTGAGATAGATAGATAGATAGATAGATAGATAGATAGATAGATAGATAGGTAGGTAGGTAGGTAGGTAGATAGATAGATAGATAGATAGATAGATAGATAGGAATAGACTTAGTTATGTATGGACATAGGTAAAGAATAAGCATAGATATGAATAGATTGAAGTAGATATGAACATACTATATAGACTATATAAAGATATGAGTTGTAAATGATATAGAGAGATAAATGAAAAATAAAAGAGGAGAATATTGAGAGGCCAAGATGGACTGACACAGATCGATGGATTAAGCGATGGACAGCTGAAATCGATGATCTGATTAATAGATGTATCGGTTAAGGGGTATTTGCTTTGCTGTTTAAAACAGGCATTTCATTAAAACAAAATAAACGTAGAAATGTATAAAAATCGTGAGTTATATGGAAGTTGTTAGACAAACCTTTATTTGCTGTTGCTGCAACTAATGTTGCTATTTTCCCCATAAACACGCAGTTGACAAGTTATTAGAGACTACAACCTATACAAATTCACAAACATACATACATACATACATATATATATATATATATATATATATATATATATATATATATATATATATATATATGTGTGTGTGTGTGTGTGTGTGTGTGTGTGTGTGTGTGTAATAGTCCCAAATGATATAATAGTCCTATCATTAAGTTTGTCATTAATTCATGACTACTGAAAATCATTTCCTTCCTGATTTTCCATGCACAGCTTAGTGATTGAATGCTGAAACTTGCTCTAAAATATTTTCGAACCACAATTGTAAAATTTAATGATTAATCATCAAATTCTATGATCAGAAATATTTCATTTATTTCATATATTTTTTCTGCATAAGATGATTAAACGAAAGGTATAGTGTGGTAACAATTAACTAACATAAGTGGCCAGCAATGAGAAAAAGGCAAACTTTCTTATACCAGGTTCAAATTCAATTGCTGTTAAAATATTCATTTTCTTACTATCAGAATTTACAATATCAGTATGCAAGTAAATTAAATTTATAAATCCTAAGATATCAAGAGTTACATAAATAGCTAATATACGTCTCTCTTACTCTTTGTGTGCGTGCGTGAGTGTGTGCCTGTACACAATGTTCTATGTGTGTGGGTTGAGATAGATAGATAGATAGATAGATAGATAGATAGATAGATAGATAGATAGATAGATAGATAGATAAAAATGAGGAGTTACGAGACATCGTTGAGTTTGCGAAAGCGAAAAAATCACCAAGGGACAAAGTGTGAGCAATTTCAGTTCCATCATTTACCATTCATAATTCATTCATCTTCTCAGCTTTAGTCTTCGCATTTTCTTCAAACATTTCAAATTCGCAACAGCATTTAATTTTAAAATTTCAACGATATCTCATTCTCTTTATTTTTCCTTTCTTTCATTTTCTGCATTTGTTTTAATTCACTTCGGTCACAATTTAGTTAATTTAATGTCGTTTCAATTATTATTGAAAACACACACAAACACACGCACATAACAAGAAACAAAAAGATATAAAGAAAGATAAACACGCCTAGATATGAACATAGATAAATAAACATCTCTCATTCAGAACTCTATAATTTTTTTAATCCTATTTAATTTATAAAAGAATCCAGCAGAAATGACTTCTAGATTTTTTTTTTTTTTTTTTTTGAAAAAGACAATTGTTGACATCAAACGATGCGATGGAAATTAATAACCAATATCCATAACCAAGCAGTTGTTTGCTAATAATACTCTGCATGCATGTTTGCTATGTATATGTGTGTGCGCTTTCAGGTATAAGTATATAAATGTACGTGTGTGTGCGTAAACAACTTATATGCATTCACATGGTGGACACTGTGTAGACAGGGTATGTTTATTAGCTGGTATATATATGTGTGTGTTATTGCTTTATTGATATTTTTGTGCTATATGCAATCGAAAGCAAGCAACTGTTGGGTGTGTTCAATAAGGAATTGGAGTATGAGCGTGCAGATACACAGATGTGTTAACGTTTGTGTACGTGCGTGTGTGTTGCTATTTCTTAAGCTTAGATTATTGCAGCACCAGGCGATATTATGGAAAATAATGAAACACGAAAATTGTGTTACTCTGATCTTCGGAGTAGGGAGGGCTTTTCAACATTGAAAATCAGTATTCGGAAATCTGGATTTTACAAGGTTTTGAAAGCAAAATATTACGATTTACTGGCTATTTTAGCCATAAAACCCAGTGTATGTATGAACGTGTGTCTACATGTGAACATGTATATATTTTGGATTTAAAACTAAAAAGAACTAAAAGAGAAATGTTGGCATGTTGCAAAAAATATCGTCATGGAGAAAATGAAAAGGAGAAAATCTAAACAAATGGATACAAAGTAGGGGAAGATCTATCTATCTATCTATCTATCTATCTATCTATCTATCTATCTATCTATCTATCTATCTATCTAAGAGAAAGTATAAGTGGATGACGGATAGTACCTTATGTACTCTCCTTTGAAGCAGCAAAGTTGAAGGGTGAAAAATGAAAAGACACATGGTTGATAATGTTGACAATTCATTCAATGTGTCAAGCTAACATCTCCTCCCATTGTACTTTCACTTAAAAAACCCTCGAATGTTGACTTCTACTTTAAATGAAAAACAAATTCTGTGATTATAGCCCTACATATGCATTTCAATGTGGTTTGTGTATGTATATACGGCAAAATTTGCTTTGTTATTAAGTGGAAATATAAGTAAAACGTTTTCTGAGCGAAATATACCAATAAAGTAAATAAAACCTACAAACACCAATATTTGCACACCCGCATACAGAAGTTAAATGCTCGCTCATTGCTTCTTGATTGAGTAAAACCAAGTAAAGTAGAGGTGTCATTGCTTTGTTGGACAAAGCCTTGTCACTCTTCGTCTTGGACTAAATGACACCTATAAAATCTGGCAGATTACTTGTCTCCGGTATTATTGTTTTTCTTAAAAGACTTTTTAGGGGATTTCTCTTATGCTTTTATTCAATGCACTCTGGAAAACCATCACAAGGGCCTGATCGTGTGGAGAGTTCGTTCTCTATGAATATTTATGCAATTATTTACACACTTACAGAGAGATAGGGAATATAAACACAAATTAGTTTTATAGTTATCATATGTGTATGACACACACATACAATCATGCATGCACAACCACCCACCCACACACATACAGAAGGAAGGTTTTTAGACAAAGAAAGGGCCATTTTTACACATACACTGATATATGCATATATATATATATATAACTATTTATATACATGCGCTGAAACATACATGTATAATATAGTTAATTATTTAAACGCAGATACACACACACATATACACACAGATAGAGAGAAAGAGAGAGGGAGAGAGGGAAGGAGAAAAAAATAGATAAATGCGTCATAATGAGAGTGTGTGTTGGTACCTGTTAACCTGTTCGCCGAAGATTATGTGCGAAGTTTATGTGTGAGCGAAAAAACAAAGAAAAGGGAAGTGTGAATAAAGAAAGTGAAAATATGTGTTATTAGTTATCCTGTTTTGAAGCGGATGTATAAGTCTGAGTGAGTATATGTACTATACTATTTGTCACTTGTGTGTGTGCGTGTGAAGGCAGAGGCAAAAGAAGATAGCTCTCTTTCTCTCTCTCTCTCTCTCTCTCTATATATATATATATATATATATATATATATATATATATACAATTAATTACATACACATTTGAGTGATGTGTGTGCGTGTGTGTCTGTGAAAAGAGAGGTAAAGAAGAAAGACTTGAGTTTGTAAATGTAGACTTGTATGAAACGATAGCTCGGTGTGAAGAGGTTTAATCGGACATGGGCCAAATGTTGTGTGACAGGTACGCTGAGCTAAAGCGGCTTGCTATCCCACAATAATATCGAGTCAGAGCGGGAGAGAGGGGAGCTTTAGGTGAGTAGCAACGTTTGTCAAGAACAATAAGAGAAACTGACAAATGATTTTTAATACAGAGCAATCAGACGAACGAATTATCATAGCAATCACGAAGAAAATGTGGATGATGACTCGTTTTTAGTACATGTACACCTATGTAGAATTCTAGTTTGATTTTATTTCTCAAAAGCAACACTTTTATTTTGTTGCAAGACTATATATTGCATGTAGCATTGAAACTGAAAAAAACGATCAAGAGGGATTCGTCACTAATCCGTTTAACGCGTTTGATGAGACACGCAAAACATAGGGAGGAAAAACAGAAGTAAAGACAGATAATTTTGAGGTAAATAAAGATAGAGAGAAAAAGAGAGAGAGAGAGAGAGAGACTGGGATAAGCAGAAAGAGAGAGATTGATAGGTAAATAAATAGAAAACGAAAGAAATAGACAAGAAATGTACAAACTGAGATGGATCAGGATAAGAGACAAAAATAAAACGAAGACAGAACAAAAATCTTTCTGTTTCACCATTAAGGTGCAGTATTTTGAGTCCCACGTTTTATAGAGAAAGAAAAACTAGTGAATCAGCTAGTAAAAGTAAGCTCCTTAAAGATAGACAAATACTTGATGAGTGTGTGTGTGTGTGCACGCGTGTGAATGCGAGCACACACACATACGCATATATATATAATTATTATTATTATTGTTATTATTATTATTATTATTATTATTGGTATAAACACTTATAGACACCCATTGACAAAACTTAACATAACTGATCAGGCTAGCTAAAATCGACTGAACAACTCTCCTCAGCTCCTGATATATTCGTAAAAAGAAAAGTAGCGACCTTGGTTCATTGAGAGCTTCGTGTCCCTTACAGTAATCTCGTTGACTCTGAATGCGTATGTATGTAAAAATGATTTTAAAAGATAAAGGTGTATATAAGCTAACTTACCTCCTCTTCTGGCGTGGTATTCACCGAATCCATACTTTGACTTAAGGATATAGTAGTTTCCGTATTCAGCGAAGGGCTGGTATGGGTAGCCATCTCGTTCGATCTCATACTGTTTTGGCTAGAGAAATACCACTACTTGTCGCAGCGCTGCTAGTAATAATAATACTAATACTACTACTACTACTAATAATAAAGATAGTAGTAATAATCGAAGCAAACGATAATAATTACAAAAAGCAAGGGACCCGAGATATACGTTATCAGCACTTAGTAGTACTAGTAGTTATGTTGTTGTTGTAGTTGTAGTAGTGGTGGTGGAGGTGACGGTGGTGCTAGTGCTGGTAGTAGTAGCAGTAGTAGTGGTGTTTTAGAACTTGTGGTTTCAACAACACAGTATGGTCTGCCCTGATGTATATTCCTGGCTTTAGTATCTCCTCCTTATGTGAGTGAGAGAGTCAGTGAGTGAACGGCCGTTTTGTGAGAGAGGAGCCACTGACTGCTTTTAGATGCGTGAGTACGTATGAGTCCTCCCTGACTGACTGGTTGCCTTGCGTGTAATTCTGTCCGTTCGTCTGCCTGCCTGTATATCTGTCTGTCTCAGCAGATGCGTGTGTGTGTTCGTGTGAGCGTGATTCTCTCTCTCTCTATGTATGTATGTGTGTGGGCTTGTGCGTGTTTGTTTGTGTGTGTGTGTGTGTGTGTGTGTATGACTATTGGTAAATTGGGGAATTTCTAGATAAAAGCAACTGCTTTTACGCGTTATTTAAATACACACACACATATATATATATATATATAAAATAGAATGTATATCTGTCAATTCATATCTATCTATCTATCTATCTATATCTATCTATCTATCTATCTATTATGCCTGTTGTAAAATATTCTGATTCGTGAGTGAAAGAAACTAATTCTTTATTTATCAGTTCGTTACGCAGTTCATATTCCAGCCTTTAATTTATTTTTGTAGAAAAGTATCTATCTATCTATCTATCTATCTATCTATCTATCTATCTATCTATCTATCTATCTATCTATCTCTTTAAATATGGGCGACTGTGGATAGATGTGATTGTGATATTACTTTTTTTATCCGTGTATTAACAAAGTAACTTGTATATCACTAAAATATTTGTCCGGTGCTGATTTTTTTATTTAAATTTTTTTTTTTATTTGTAAAATGTCCTGTGTAAGTTTGTCGAACAGGACTCATGTCTTATTGTCTCTAACTCGATACATTTGTTTGTTTATGTGGCCGTTCGTTTTTTATCTAGTATGTATAATTATATATAAATGAAAATGAAAATAAATAAATAAACTCTTCTTGTC